TATCTTGGCTATTAGAGCAGGTCACTTCCCAGCTTCTTCAGTACGTACCTGCCCACCTTAGGAGCACTGATGACTTTCTATCTAGGTTGAATGAGGCCTATCCTGCCGGCCTCCCGGAAGGGAGCATAATATTCAGCGTAGACGTAAAGAATCTTTATGGCAACGTGCCTACCGGGGAAGCCATAGACGCAGTCATCGCGCGTATCGAGGAGCACCGGGCAGAATTGAACCTATTTGGACTAGACACCAGTGACATCAGAACGCTGCTACAACACTGTCTCCAGAACAACTATCTTAGGTTTGGGGACTCGTACTTCAAGCAGACCCAGGGCCTGGCTATGGGATCCCGTATCGCTCCAACCCTAGCAGTTGTGTTCATGGGCTCACTCGAGAAACAGTTCTGGAATCACCCTAGGGGTTTGAAGCCGAATACCTACATGCGCTACATAGATGATGTATTTGCGGTATGGACACACGGGGCAGAAAGCTTATCCGAGTACCTAGACTTTCTAAACTCGAAACATGAAACGATCAAGTTCACGATGGAGCGATCTGATGCAAACGGATCTCTCCCTTTCCTTGATGTACTGATTACAGTAAAGGACAACGGCACGTACACTACACAACTGTACATTAAGCCCAATGCCGCAAAACTTGTCCTTCACTTTCAATCGGCCCATCCTTTCACGACCAAAAAGGCAGTCTTAACAGGACATGTAAAAAGAGCCATTCGGATAAGTTCCGACATCCCAAGTAGGGACAAGAGCCTAGAGGTGACCACGTCCCTATTTAAGCTGAACGGTTATCCAGCTAAGCTCATCAAAAGTGTCATGCTACCAGTGGCGGATCTAGGATTTGAGTTTAGGGGGGGCAAACATTGCGCCGCCAGGCAAGTCGGCGAGAATTTCAAACGTCCAGTCTTAGGAAAAAAAAAAACGAGCTACCCCTACTTTTCTCCTCGGATTTCGGGAATTATTTTTTTTTATTTTTTACATTTTTGTCAGTCCGGCCAAGCCAGGGCAGCGCAAAAAAAAATTTGCAGCCACCCCGACTCCGGGAGATAGTTAGAGAATAGCTCACCGGCGCTATGGACAAAGGTTGAACGTTCTTCAGCATCATTCTGCTCGTCCTGGTAGGTACTTGGCTACCTTATTACATAAATATGTTACCGAAAAAAGTCGTACATTTGCCGGCAGCTGGTTGCAGCCCCGGCACCTCGGTAATAAGGCGACAGTAACCGATGACGGCGATTAGCACCGGTGCAGCAGCCCCTGCGGTCCGCAGGAGCGGATATTGCGCGGAGGGAACGGTAGCTACGAAGCTCTGGCGGTAATCAGACGATCACAATAATCTCTGATAATGACAGGTGATCGCATTTCGATATTTATGGGTTTACGATTTTCCAGTCAGTGGCGTAGCCAGGTCGGCCCGTGAGGCACATGCCCCCCCCCCCATCAGGTTCAGGGGCCCCTCGGGTTATTCGGGCCTGAGGGGCCCTGCGGCGCCAATTGGCCGCTGAGGGTCCACGTTGGCCATATTTGGACTAAGTAGGGCCCCACAGGGCTCGTAAGAACACCTCATGGGCCCACAAGTACCAACATTAAGATCTCCATAAGGGCCCCAAGCCAGCCTCTGAGGCCCACTTGCCGGCCTCTGGGGGTCCTAACCGGCCTATAGGGGGCCAGCTCTAGGAGCTGCACACCCGCCTGTAATGGCCCCACACCCATTTCTCTGAGGGCCCCTATAACGGCGACTGTGAGGGCCCTCGCCGGCGCCCCTGAGCGCCACACCGGCGTCTCTAAGGGCCACACACCCCTAACTCTGAGGCCCAATGGCTTTAAAAACCCTACATGGGCGGTTCTGAGGGCCCTTGTCAGTTACCAGCGACCCTGACGATCCCACACAGGTGACTCGGAGGATCCCAGCGGCGTCTGAGCGCACCATACCAGTTTCTGAGAACCCCACAAGGCTCCTGAAGGCACCGGTGACCTCTTAATATCTTCTTGTCGGCCTATGAAGGGTCCGTTCCGTAACAGCAGTTCTGAGGGCCCCACGCGCGCCTGTGATGGCCCTAAACCAGTGTCTCTGAGAGCCCCCACAACGGCGCCTGTGAGGGCCGTCACCGGCGACTGTGAACCCTCCACACCGGCGGCTCCGAGGGCCCCACATTGCCATATCTGAGGGCCCCACACTAGTGCCTCTTAAGGCCCTATATCGGCGGCTCTGGGGGCCCAACATCGTAGCTTCTAAAGGCCCCACAAGTGCGCATGTGACGGCCACCCACCGGTGACATTTGAAGGCCCCACACCGGCTACTCTGAGGGCCCCATCGGCGCTGAGTCCGTGCCGGTCGCTAAAGACGACCCCACAGGGTTTCTTAAGGTACCACCGGCCTTTGATGGCGCTTTGTCGGCCTCTGAGGGCCCGTCGCCGGTCTCTGGAGCCCCCTGCCGGCTTGTAAAGGGTACGCGCCAGCAGCTCTAAGGGTCCGACACCCGTGTACGACGGACCCACACCAGTGTCTTTGCAACTTACCGTTTTTTCGCCCTTCTTCTTAAAACTAACTTTTCTTTTCTTTACATCTTTATTTCATGCATTGCAAGTTGTGTAATTGTTTTAGTTTTAGTAGTGAAAGACTGCAGAACCAATTATTTTCTTCAAGCAGAGTTAGTGGGAGTTATTGAGGGACAAAATCATTGGGGGTGCTAACTGGAACATTCGGGGGTGCCCGGAAAACCATTGGGGGTGCTCATTTGAGCATTGGGGGTGCTGCAGCACCCCCGAAGGTATACAAATCGACACCCATGTCGCCTGCCATGTTACAGCTACCACCAGCGTCCAGCGCAGCTTTACTTCACATTTCACAGCGTCTGACTGCCACATTGTTTACCCATCACTAATCCCCACCGAACTCATCACTAATCCTCACCGACACCATTTATTTCCTCCATTTATTTCACATTTTCTTTTCAAACACCATATTTTTAGTATTCAAGTTGTATTTTTTAGGGGGGGGCAAAAAGATATGTTTGCCCAGAGGTTTTCCGTTTAGGGGGGGCAATTGCCCATTTTGCCCCAACGTAGATCCGCCACTGCATGCTACGGGAATGCTCTCGTGCAAACAGGGGGGTAGCTAGGGTGCAGAGGGACAAAAGGAAGCGCAGGGGAACAGTTTACGTCAAACTACCATTCATAAATGATGAAGTGGCCTCCAAGGTCCAAAAAGTGCTGAAAACATCAGGGTTTCCGATCCTTGCAGCATGGACAAATCAAAACACACTCAAAAGACAGCTAGTGCGGTCAGCTCTCAAAGACCCACCGTGTCCTTCAGGCAGACAGCACTGCCACGCATGTCAAGCTGGGCTGCGGGGAAAGTGTCACACGAAAAACGTAGTGTACGAATTGAAATGTAGTCTGTGCAACAAAACTTACGTAGGAGAAAGCGGTAGGCCAATACGACTGTGATATAACGAACACTTACGAGATGGCACCAACAAGAAACTAGGCACACCAATGGGTGAACATTTCGCGCACGAGCACCCAGACCTGACCCCAACGGACACGACTCTGATAGCACGCATCGTACGCAAATGTAAGGATGAAGCTGACAGGAGGATTGCTGAATCCATCACCATCCGCGATAGGATGCCATCTATTAACGATAACAGCACCTCCTGGCAGCTACTTCCAAAGTAGGTTAGCATTTTTCAAGAGCTCACCACGTTAAAAAGTGATTGTGTAGATCGTTTTCATAGATGCTGTATGCGCCCTAACTTTGTCCAGGGTATGAGTAGTCATAGTATGATAATACGCTCATGTATGCTCATTTACGTATATAATGTTCATTTATGTATAATATGCTCATTTAATTGTTTCGCACAGTGTAAATGTTATATGTGCCCTAACTTTGTCCAGGGTAAGAGTGTAACTTGCTGCCCATTTAATTGATCCGCAAGTATTGTTTCATCTTAAATTCGTATATGCTTAGGCACACACGCACTTTAATCTTGTGTATTTTTTCCCTGTACATATTATGTTTGACTGCTGCGACTTTTAGAATTACCAACCATAAATCTTTTCCCTGAGGACATATCTACTGTTGTGCATGTGTACTGAACAAAAAGTATTTTGACATCTACAATTGTGGCGCCTGCTGGTATCGGTTGACAAAGATCTGTGATCGAATATACCCGAATTTTTGCTATTTGTCATTTTATTCAGATTACATTGAGGATTCGGTCAATTAAAAATATGCTCATAATCATGTCTACTTTGCTCAATTGAGCTTTGTATCATGCCCATATAAGGAAAATTGGCCGCGCTGAAATGTCAGAGGTTGCACCGGCCTCAGCTCGGGTGGAGTGGGGGTAGCGCCCGGAGGGGCAGGGTAACCTTTGACCGGTCGCACGGCCGAGCAGCTGTCACCAGTACAGCCTCTGACAGTGAAACCCCGCTCATTTCCCCTGCGCGGGCACTGATCGCAGCTGGATGGAACAAAACATGTATAAGAAAAATGTAAATTAAAGCATGTTATAAATCAAGCAGAACAATGAATTTTCTTCACAGGTATCCTGAATAACTTTCATAGCGATGTGGACAGTTAAAGTGACAAATATGACATTTGTTTAGTAGAACGGGAGCCGAACGTTCTCTCTGTGGCCGGTCAGGCGGGCCGAGAGCGCCGGGTCTGCGAGTCGATAAGGGTCATTTCACGCTTCTGTGTGGCTGACTTTGGTCCATCGTGACACTGAGCTGTGTGATTGCGCCTTATTGTCGGCTGTGGGAGACGCATATTAATGTTTGGAAATATTGCTTCGCTAAATATTGTTCTTTTGGCGTTCAGCTTGCACTGGAACTCAAAAATACATGTTTATGTTTTCAAGAATGTCCGGGACAGCCCGTTGAATAAAAGATTATTAAAATACCCTAGCTCCGATGCCTTGAAACTCTGGTTTCGCTTCTCGGAACAACCACCTGTATGACCACTCGGTGTGCCCTCAGGCAAGTGGGTGAGGAGGTGGCTCACCCCGGCGTCGGTAACGTCGGCTCGGCCTGGAACGATGACGAGGCCACCAAATACTACACCTACTACCAGTGGGTCGTGTTCGTGCTCGCCTTCATGGCCATCCTCTGCTACGCGCCCAAGTTCATCTGGGACGCCATGGAGAACAACATCATGGGCACCGTCGTGATGGGCCTCAACTGGGGCCTCAAGACCGAGGACGAGATCACCAAGAAGAAGCAGACGCTAGTAGACTACATGCTTCGTCATATTAGGGTTAGTATGAGAGGGAAAGGGGAGTGAACGAGCCGGATTGCTCCGCTGGTCCGCCACCGTTCTTTTTGCGCATACGAGCAGATTTGTGGAAACTGGAAAGCGTCAAGGATGTGGACGAAGGCTGGGAAGGGCGGCTAGAGGGGGAGGCGGGTGATTATAAGTGCTCCTTTACGTATCTTCTGGGCCACCCGTTGACAAGTGGCATTTAAAGTCTCTACTGAGTCATTTATAAATTAACTGTTTTAGTTACGATGGTTATCTCACCATAGATGTTCGCCAGAGTAAAATCTCATTTATTTAAATTATCTCGTCAAGTTAAAACGTTGTCATGATAAAGCAACCATAGTCAACCAAGGTGGTTTTGGCCGGTACCGAACGTGCTGTAGCTGAAGACTTAGATTGTCAAATTAGGTGGCATCTGACTGCATCTTTGTCTTGACGATCGAACCTTTGCGTTTCCTCATGTGCGGTTATTCGCCATTCACTTACGCATCATGTTGTCCCCAGTCTCACGACATGTACGTGTACCGCTACTTCTTCTGCGAGCTGCTCTGCCTGGTGAACGTCATCGGCCAGATGTACCTGATGGACGCCTTCTTTGACGGCGAGTTCTTCACGTACGGCTCGCGTCTGCTCAACTTCTCCGAGATGCCACAGGAGGAGCGTGTCGACCCCATGGTGAGTGAGGCGCACAAGGCTGCAAAGACACGTTTGGCGGAACCAGTCCCCTGCCTTCCTTGTCGGTAATCTCGGCTCGTTTTCTGAGTGAGACACTTGGCTTTTGGCCCTGTTGATCCGTGGCTGGTGGCTTCTAAGCCTTCTACGTATAGCGTATGCCGCATAACCACTAGTACCTAAGTCTTGGTCCACAGACTGAATGATCACTCATTCACTTAGTCAACAACGTAAATAAACACTCACAAGCCAACATACCTGAAACTGGCCTACGCTCATTGCCTACGCTGGCCTAATGTCCTCCGCAGTTGACCGACCCCTGACGTCCCGCTGTCTGTCCGTCCGGCAGGTGTACGTTTTCCCGCGGCTGACCAAGTGCGTGTTCCACAAGTTCGGTCCTTCGGGAACGGTCACCCGCCACGACTCGCTCTGCGTGCTGGCGCTCAACATTGTCAACGAGAAGGCCTTCATCTTCGTCTGGTTCTGGTACATCATCCTGGCCACCATGCTGTCGGTGGTGCTGCTCCTGCGTGCCATCATGATCTTCGTGCCGGCCGTGCGCCCCAGCCTGATCCACATGAAGAACCGCATGGTGCCTAAGGATGCCATCGAGGTGATCTGCAAGAAGAGCTCTCTGGGCGACTGGTGGCTGCTCTACATGCTCTGCTTCAACCTGGATCCTTTCGTCTACAAGGATGTCATCGCTGAGTTGAGCAAGAAGATCGAGACGGCCGAGAGCAACGTGCCTCAGAGCAAGTCGTCCATGGTCTGAGCGGCCGGTCCTTCAGGCCGGTCCGTGCGGCCGGCCGGCGGCTCCGCTAGTGGACATGACCTCGCCTTTGGTGCTGACAAAGGGGCGGCCATGTTCCGTGAAGGGACGCATCGTGAGTGCTGTTATGTAGACATGGAGATTACTGCAGCGATGTGGTTTGTCCGTCAGATGTCGGGCAGTTTGTCCGGGCTGCGGTGGCGGAGGACTGGTGACCGGTCCAATAACGGCACCGTCCCCGCGCCCCGAGCACCAACACCAACCAGCCGAGCATTCCGGCTCAGCCGGCGCAGTTGGGCGGTTTGCATGGTCTGAATGTGCGATGGTCGAAACTTTTATGCTGCCTTCTGGGGACCAATAATATGAAGCAACTAGTGGCTCAAGATTAGGATTCCTTTGTATGATTTTTACGACGTTTTTACAACCGAGCTTGCGCGGTGCGGGGAGTGGTTTGTCCGCCGGCGCTGCCCGCCGTTTGCATGTATGACCGTGGTCGCCGGAGGCCGGCATCCAGCCGGGCGAGGCGTGGTGCAGCGCCGCAGGGCTGCTTTATATCTACATCACTGGCACCCACATGGCGAAAGGATCTCACGCAGACTGTTCGATCCGGGCTCAGCAGATGACAGAAGGCGCCTGCGTTGTGTACATCGCTCGCCAATGAACTAGTGTGTGGCGATCGCTCGACTCTGTCCCGCCAATTTCTAAATTCTCAGCATCGCTCGGCGGGCTGAATGTTGAATGTGCGCCGGACCGAACGAGTCGGGTGGCCTGTATTTTTGTACTGATTCGTCGTATGCTCTACCAGGTACGTAGATAATAAAGTCTGCTGTGATTATTCAGAAGTCTTTATGGACGCAGCGCCACCTCGCTGTGACGGGGAAAACGAGGGAGGGCATTGGAAACCACTCGTAAAGCTTTACAAAGTGGCTAAGGCTGATGCAACAAAATGCTTAATGGTCGAGCAAATGGCAAGTTGGTGGGGTAGCCGCCCCACAAACTGTATAGGAAGCTCCGCTCCGGATCTGGCTGTTCCGAGTTTAGGGCGCTACGCGTCGCGGTTTTTCATTCACGGCAATACATGCTTCTGGGGTTTTCAGTCGACCAAACCCCTCTCTCCAGTCAAAAATCCCGTCCGTCCCACCAGGGCCCGCACCATGAGCGGCACCGTATCTATCGAGCAACGGCGTCCGGGACCACTTCACACCATTAGAAACCATCAGAGTTGGCCAGCATTCGCTGGGAGGACAGTAGCTGCTCATAACCCCGACCGGCCGAATGAGGCCACCGAGGTCGAGCTCACGACTGTGGCGACATCTGTAATGACGTGCAGTGTTCACCTCCGGTCGTCCCATCTTTTGTCACGTAACGTAATCCGGAATCCCCCTGACGATAGGTGATGGATAAAGTTACCTACATCAGTAATCCGTATGCAGCTAAGTTTCTCAATGCTTCCTTGCGACGATAGCTCGCTAGTCCACCAAGATCAGGCTGTATTAGACGATAGTTATTGGGACCCGCTGACTTCAGAGGTCCAGCTGTGGCGGTAGGTGGCGCACGACGGGCCGCTGCGGCACCAGTGTAGCACCGGCCCCTAAGGTCCCGGCAGCTGCGCCTCAGAGGGTGGCGCTGCTGTAACCGTCGTAGGTGTCGCCCCGTTCGCAGGGTCTGTAGGTAACTGGGAGAAATGATTCAGCACCAATTGCAGGCCGCCTCTGAATCGCAAATGCCGATGGGAGGGTAATGGATACGAAATATGGAAGATCACTTTATTTTCAGTTTATACGTTCCTATTCATCATCCTTTTCATTTTCTTTAACCGGAGAAATGGTAAACGGGACTTGGAATGTTGCACGAGAAACTGTCGTCGAAGAATATTGGTCTTCCTTATTGGTTTTCCTTATATCCGGTCAAAGGACTAACAGCATGTCAGTAAAGGTAATTAGAGGTCAAACTTTCCAGGCTAAGACGTTTTTAGAGTAATTAATTTGACCTTGTTCTGGTGGTGCAGAGGGGTGGGGTTAGGGAGAGGGGTGGAGGAATTTCGGTCACACTATAGGTACAGCTTTTTACTAGTGTAGTTTTACACCGCATGTTGCATCAATATCGCATCCCGTGTTCAAGTTTTATTGCAAGTCTCTGGAGGTCAGGCGATGGGGTAAAGTTACTGTAAGCCGTTTTCACGACGGGCTATTTGGCGAATGCACCTAATTTGACCAAATTTACCAAATCTATTTACAATCAATATTTCCGTATCATGAATTTATTTCCCTGTTTTAACCCTCGCCCATGTAGGGGGTGGTGCAACCCCCCCCCCTGAGGTTTTTCGGAAATAGTGCAAAAACGGCGGCGCGCAGCGCCGCCAAATTTTGGGTACCTTATGGGGCAAACCTTGCGCATCTTTTGATAAAAAAAAATTTGACCGGGTCATGTCAGGTCACGGAGTTATGACGTCACAAAGGGAACAGCCTCCGGCCGGATTTTCACAAACTGAGTGCCAACGCCCGAGGTTTCCTGCCGGTGGTACGGACATCGGTTGATGGATCGTGATGAAACTTCCCATGCATGTTGGGGCAAGTATTGGCTATCATATGGTATAAGAAACTTGACCGGGTCAGGTCAGGTCACGGAGCTATGACGTCACAAGAGGAACAGCGTCCGGTACTATTTTTGAAAAGCGCCCGAACCACTATTTTGCTAATTCTTGTCACCTCAATGGGAATATGCAGCAATATTAGCTTCTATAGGGAGCAAATGGACATCCCAAATCCAAAATTACAATCAGATTTCAAAAATTTAAATTTTGATTTTTCGAATTTCTGCCGCCGACTGTGACCTTGCCGACTTCCGGCGCTCCCAACGCGCCATTTTTAGAGCTAGGGAAACGAAATACATACCAAACGATAGAGAATTGATCAAGGAACACGATAGTGAAGGTTTCAAGTCGATATCTCCCACCGCTTTGCCGCAATCGCCGCGGAAAATTTGAAAAAGTCTATTTTTCCGAAAATTTGACCTTTGACCATGGGCGCCGCCACCGGGGGGGACGGGGGGGACGCGTTCCCCCCACTCTCAGAATGGAAGGGGGACGTCCCCCCCCCCAAACTCATTACGGAGCGAGCGAAGCGAGCGTAGTCTTTCGTAGGTTAGCGGAAATTTCTGAGTATGCCGTGGTCACGCTTTTGCTAGGCTTATATCTCAGCAACCACTTGACCGATTTACATGCGGTAATTTTTGTAAGGTAGCACTAGATTCATTCCTTCTAACGAGCATCGGTCTATTCCCGATGCATGTGAGTGACCCCATATGCACGTGCCACGTGAAAAACGAAGAAGTGTCAGTTTTGTAACAATTTCAATATCTCGGCAACTACTGGGCCGATTGCGCTGAAAGTTGGCATGTAGGTAGGTATACCCACTAGGCAATGCATATCCATGTGCCACAGTTGGGGTGCTGCTGCACGTGCGCACATGCAGGGGTCGATTCCAGATCTCGAGAACGGCTGAACCGATTGTGCTGAAATCTGATACATGGTTAGGGACCGGTTAGTAGGGTGCCGTGCAAAAGTCAGTTGGGACCCATTTTGCACGTGCGCACGTGCAGGGTGCCGCTTCAGGATCTCGAGAACGGCTAGGCCGATTGCGCTCAAATTTGGCACATCGTTAGAGACCGGTCAGAAGGGTGCAGTGCACAAGTTAGTTGGAGGTATCCCCTCGCAATTTCGCACGTGCAAGGCCCACCCCACCCTCTCGTTCGCTCCGTTGGTCGCCCCAAAAGGCGTTTTACTGGTTGTTATCCTACTCAAAATTTGATTAGGCCCTTCGGTCCAATGAGACCATTTCAGAGCCGTAAGTATGAAAGAATTAGTGGGAGACATTGGTCGGGGCAGCCACCCCAGTGAGCCACTTGGGATGAACCCGACCAATTGAACAGGCAGCCCAGCCCACTGGCACTCACTGCACCCGGCAAAGGACTATAGCTCCAGTGGAGCCATTCCCGCATGGGATAGAGTTGCCCGTCCAGCCGGGAACAGGGGGTTGCGGCGTGGAGAAGGATTTGACTGTCCTGAGGATGGAAGAGATGGAACGGCCGGTGCCGAATCTGAGAGGGTCCAGTAGGTTTAGATACTTAGTATATGGGGTGTGGGCCTACATGCATTGGTCTGACTCCTGCCACCTCGGCCAACAAAATCTCCAGCACTTATCCGACCCATGTCATTGCGGAACTGCCGATTTTTGATATCGTGATCAACGTGTGTCGTATAACACGACTGGCCGAACACGGGCCTAATATATTTCGTCTAACCAGCCAAGAACATGACTTTACACCAATCCGACCTCGAAGTCAAAATCCGAACATTTTCGAAGACTTCAACTCCGACTCTGGTCAAAACTGGCCAAAACAGTCAACTCCGACTGATTCCGGCTCCGACCCCACACTTCTGCAGTCACGCTACACTAAATTTCCAGCTTCTAAGAAATAAGCTATACGGTTGACAGGACCACAAAATATTGAGGCGACTTGACTACTTGACTTGGTTTTCCTGACCTAAGGTTTTCTGGTATCAAGCTTGTTACACGGGCTGCAAAATTCGTATTTTGGAGCAGTTTTGCCTAATGTTTTTTGCCAATTTTCGCGGCGCTTCGCGCCGATTCGTGCACAAACCAAAAATAGAGATGTGTGACTATACAACGCCCCCTCCCCCACGCGGATATGCAATATGCATTATCGATCATATTAGTGGCATACATCAGCAATTATACCGTGATAGAACACGAGGCTTTGCCGTGTCAAACTGAATCGGACATCAGATGTGTATATATGTAGGTAGGTACTCGGTGGGAATGCGGTCTATAGCCATTACTTTAAGGAAATACCTAAACATGGGTGTCCATTTCCAGCAAGTTGGGGGTGCCCGAGCTCTCCAAATTTCCCGCCGGCTCGGCCGGCTTGGCTTTGGAGCCTCAACAGACCGCGCAGGTCAAGGTCACCGCTAGGGCGGCGGCGGATTTGCTGCGCCCGGGCACCCCCAACTCGGTAGAAATCGACACCTATGTACCTAAACTACTTTCCTCAAACCAGTTGTTTTGCCACAGTTTTATCAGTTTTTAAACTTAAAATGGTCAGGAAATAATGAATATTTGCAAAAGGATTTTATATTTATTTTTACATCACTATGTTCCATCTTTCGTAGAGGCTACTTACCTATATTGCAGCGAGAGCTAATTACGCGTTGACCAAGCATAGTATGTAGTTCAAACCAGCTGAATGCTGATTGGCTAGCATTTTTCCGTAAGGGAATGGATTCCTCGGTAAGAGAATGACAAAGTGTAATCTATGGGAATGAATGACTTCAGTCTTCAAACCTAAAATCGATACCGATATATTTGGCAAGGGTGATCGTTGGGCCATAAAAGCTCTTGATTTGTTCTCGTCTCAGCTCAAGCTACAAAACTGTTACTTCAGTTCAAAACCCTATGTTAAGAGTGGCATATTTGCTTTAAACGTTGAATGCATCCGACCGAAAAAAGCCACGGTAAGAATGTCTACTTTTAGGTTTTCAGTCGGTCAGTCCGTCCCCCCCAGTCAAAAATCTGTGGCGGCGCCCCTGCCTTTGACCGGTCAAAAGTAGGTCAAATGTTGACCTAGGACCAAAAAATATACCACCAATCGCGAGATCTCGGCGAGAGCAATCCGTTGGTCTTTTCCGTTAAGCTCTACGACGCTCCGTTTTCAAACGCCAAGGGGGGGGTCGCACCAACCCCCCCCTGCATGGGCGAAGGTGGCAGATCGCCGTTTACGGGCGAGGGTTAATCGAAAATAATGTCTGATAATTTG